GCGAACGAACCTGGCCCGCCGTCCGCGGCTCAAACTCTAACTCAAACTGATTTCTGTCGGTTGGGGTCCCGCTTTTATTGAGGCAGTCAAAACTGGGGTGGGTCTGTCAGCGCCAGGGGTTTTTCGATAATTCTAAATACGTATCCACCCTTCTTATTTCTGGTTAGGGATTTTCATTCCTTTCCATTTTCGGTAACTCACTCTCACTCCCACTCCCTTACTGTGCCTCTGAGGGGCGTGTGCCTGCTTCCCCGCTTCTTCGTATCGGCTCCTCACACTTACACCTCTGACAGGGGCGTCGACCGATTCTCCTCGTGCGTCACGTGACCGCTCTCGGCCAATGAGGTCCTGGTCGGGTATCTTTCCTCCTCCTTCGTGTGTCATGTGACCGCTTTCGGCCAATGAGGTCCTGGTCGGGTATCTTTCCTCCTCCTTCGTGTGTCATGTGATCTTATTTAGCCAATGACGTCTTTAGTCGGGTGTGGACAATCCGTGGCTTTGTTTTGGGGAAAGGAACACCTTGCTTAAAAAACAAAAATATTAATCTAAATCGCCCCCACCATGGGCGACCGCGATGACACCTTCGGCTTTTTAACACGTGGTATTTGTCAAGCAGTTTATCGCTAATTGGATATGACCTAAGAAAGGGATTTCTCAGACCTGTTGGCGTTTTTTTTGAACGAAATAAAAATATTTCATTTTCCTCCGGCCGAAGGTCCGATAATAAAAATCTTTATTATCTCAAAAAAAAATTTTCAGCGACATCATCTTGTGTGGCTTTTTCCAATTCTTTCAAACCGTCAGGATGCATGGTGCCACATATTGTTCTGTTGGTGGCCAGACCCATGATAACGGCGATTTGAAAGAAAGAAAAAAAAAAGAAAGAGGAGAGATCATTAATTTTTCTTAGTTAAGCAAGATAATTTTTTTCTCCGAAACAAAGCCACGGATTATTCACGCCCGACTAAGACATCATTGGTCAAGTGGTGATCACATGACGCACGAAGGAGGAGAGAAGATACCCGACCAGGACCTCATTGGCCGAGAGCGGTCACGTGAGGCACGAAGAAAATCGGTCGACGCCTCTATCAGAAGTGTAAGTGTGAGGAGCCGATACGAAGAAGTGGGGAAGTTAGTGCACGCCCCTCAGAAGCACAGTGAGAGAGTGGGAGTGAGAAAGGAGTTACCAAAAATGGAAAAGAGTGGAAAATCCCTAACCAGAAATAAGAAGAGTAGATACGTATTTAGAATTATCGAAGAATCCCAGACGCCAAACAGACCCACCCCAGTTTTGACGGCGTCAATAAAAACGAAGCCCCACCAGACAGAGATCAGTGCAGCCGCGGACGGCAAGCGGAGTGCAGCCGCGGACGGCAAGCGGAGTGCAGCCGCGGACCCTGGCGAGAAGTTTTGAGCCTTGGACGACAAGCAGAGATGAGCGCCCAGTGTTGAAACCGCGTCAAGATAGCTGATCAATATTCACGCACACTTTTGGACTCTTCTTCAACCAAGAACAAGTAGTTTGAAGAGCGACTTAAAATCAGACCACAGAAATAAGTTTTTCGACTTTCGTCCAAAGACACACCGAAACACAAATTTCTTAGAGAGCAGACAACATGAAGCCTTAAAGTTTGCCTAGCGAAAGCGTCGTGCCACAATCCACAGAACGGGTCGGGAAGTAGACATAGTCCTATGTACCGAACAAATAGACATAAAAGTTTGTTACCTTTTTCTTTGATACTTTGGACTTTGTGAGTTTTCATTTTATTTTATTTTATCCATAATTGTGTGTTATCAGCCCCGTTGAACTCAGCTTGTATTACGGCCCCAATCCCTGTTTGATCTCGTCTGTCTAAGATCAATTCACAACGTGGGTAGGCAGACTGGGGATCAGTGCAGTTACCCTGGAAACCAGGCGTTGGAAGCAGGTTGGGAACGGCGAGGCTGGTATCAATGTAACCAGATTCCTACCCGAATCACCAAAGGGTTAGAACGTCACGTTTTGGAGCAGCGAGGAGCGAACAGCTGACGCCGCGGCGAAGACGTCACAATTGGTGCTGTTTGGGGACGTCACATCTGTCGCCGTGACCGGGACATCAGAGCCTTGGGCAGCCACGTGACGTTACATCTGGCGCCGTGGTGGATCAGGATAGAACGACACAGTCGGCGCTGCGACCGGGGGACGACGTCACAAGGCATAGTAATTCCCAAATAATAACGAAAAGGCAACGAGACACAGTTCTTCCAAAGAAATTATAGTGATTTTCAAATAACAAGGGAAATGAAATCAGAAGCCTCCGCACAGCCATTGCAAAGAAAATATAGTAACAAAAAAAAGGCTTTTTAAATTATTCGGACTGTTATTCTCATCTTCATTGCCATCTTCCCTATGTATCGGTCGTTGTACGAAAGAAAGCTTTCGCTTCGAAATTCCAATCACCTGAAGAAAGCCAGAGCGTACAACGGCCGAAACGTTCTGAATATGGCAGGGAAGATGAGAATAACAGTCTGAATAGTGTAAATAATGTATGCAATCATAATACCTAATCTCAGAGATATAGACATATTTTTACGATACTTAATATAAATCTAGATTTCAATGGATTTGAATTTTTTGGTGCATGTTACTGTTGTGGTGTCCTCCCTCAAAAGAATCTATGTTAGAATCTTCCGCCTAGTATAAGATTAGTAGGAAAGAAGGGACTGGGAACAGTGAACAGATTCAGCTCGAGTTCATTCTATATACTCTCATTAGTCGTCACTGATACGATACATCTGCAAACTTGGTTTTTGTCCTTTCTTTCGCAGCAGTTACATTCATTGATTGTTGGGAATCTTTGGCTGTTAACAGGCAGGTGAGCCAAAGTATTTGTACAAGTTTTGTCTTCATATTTCTTTAATTAACTTCATATTGACTTTTGTTACTTGGCAGTGTGTAAATCTTTCTGGCAAAATCAACAATAAGCCATCATAATAAATCAAATAAAGAGTTCTCTTCGAAATTCCAATCAGCGGAAGAAGGCCGGAGCGTAAAGCGGCCGAAACGTTGAAAATATGGCTCTAAAGATGAGGATAACCGTCCGAATAATGTAATTAATGTAAGTAATTATAATACGTCATCTCAGGATACAAAAAAGTTTTCTGCTCAGATCGATGACACCTATGTTAACAAGTGACGCACAATTTCTAAATTACTTATGTGAAACAAGATTACAGAGTGTCCAAGGCAGAGTAGTAACGAAAATGGCAAATGAAAGAAGAGCCATCGTTTGATAGAAGTAGTACCGTTATCAAAAAGAGCGGGCCAATTCGAACGCAGCAAATTGGAAACGTCAGGTGTAGAAACTTAATTCTCAGGGAAATGGTTTACCAGAGGAAATTTGATGCAGGTATCTAAACGGGGATTGGGAGAGTGAACAATGACTTTCTGAAACTAAATAAACAAATACATAGGAATAGTTCGTTAGAAACAAAGGATAATTTGATGTGTTCTTACTTGAATCCTCCTACAATGCAGTGAATGCTGAACAATAGAATCACGGATATTTAGCAGACTAGAGGTAACAGAAATATGTTTAACAAAAGGATACTGGGAAACACGTGGCCGGAACATAGCAGCAACGAGGAATTTTTAAGGAAAATGGAATGAAATGAAGGACACTGAAAAAAGAACACTAAAGAAACTTTTGTAAATTGATGACAGAGGCTCCGTGTTTGGGTGAGGAGAAAAAAATAGGACTAGACTGATAGTAGTTTTAGACAGCCATGGTATCCATACTGATGCTACACAGCACGTAATAAAGTGAAAATAATTTTTTTCTTAAATATCTGGCAACTCTGACTCAAAAACCTGAAGTCTTTTTTATTCGATTTTTGAAATTATTTTTAAAAAATACATGAATAGTCTGGCGTTTATATCCCTGGGGTTAGCAAAATTTTATTCGAATGAGTTTCGTTCAATATAAATATTTATATAAATTTATTTTTGTATAGACGTAAGTATTGGATTTAAAAAAAATATCGGATTTCTTGTGATTTCTAAAATATACAGGCAATACCTGAGAGTGCCAAAAGGTAATCACATCTGGACACTTCCTGAAATATGAGGATATACTGTTCTTTTTTTGTTATTTATTCAAGGCCAAACTATGAACTACTCAGCAAATACTAGTCTAATGCTTCCGATATATCCTTAGGAAAATCAAGTCTTTTACAGCACTTTTATGATCATTTACCTTATTATTAGTAAAGTTTTCTTTATAGAATCATCATTCAAAGTGAAATATTGATGTACTCTTAAACAGTTAATATCGATGCTGGTTTCAAGAAAGCAGACGATTCAAATACTAAGATGATATTGCTAGATATTCTTTTATATGATTATTACATAAATCGTGAAAAAGTTTTGCATGCATATATAAAATTGTATTGTCCGTTGTTCGGAATTAATACTTCATTTATTCAGGTTTCGTTCAACGAATATGTTTTTTGTTTTCATACATTTCTTCTTCGGGTTGGACCATTTATATTTTTATTCAAAGAAAAATGGAAAATTTAATCATAATTTGACACGGATGCATGTCAATAATTTAGATAAAGATAATAGAAAATAATTCGTAAAGACTTTGCCGGTTGAATTTAATAATCTTGTTTAATATTGTTGAGTTGTTGGGAGTGTTCGCGCGTGTGTGTAGGGATAAATACTGGTATATTTGTAAGAGGTAATTAACAACAGAGTGATTAGTAATAAGGAACGCTTGTTAGTAAGTAACAATAGCAAAAGTCTACAGTCCAACGGTATGTAATGGTAACCTGATCTCGACTGCTGTCGCTGAACCTGATCCTTCATACAACACCACTACTCTCTCTAGCACTGACTCATATCGTAGAGGGAAAAGTCCATTATCAATCAGAAGGTGGGTGCGCCCCAACAAATATATATTTTTGAATGAAGGTGTGTGCGTGTGCACGTATGTATGTATGTATGTATGTATGTATGTATGTATGTATCTATCTATCTATCTATCTATCTATCTATCTATCTGTCTTTCTTTTTCTTTCTATCTATCTATCTATCTATCTATATATATATATATATATATATATATGTGTGTGTGTGTCTGTCTGTCTGTCTGTCGGTGTCTGTGTGAGTGTGTATGCCTGTAAAGAACGATGATGAACGAGTGATATATGCAGCTGTTGGCCTGTTTTTCCTATCCAAAGAAAGGATGATCTCTTAATATGCTTCAAACTCGCTGCCTGTCTGTTTGTATGTATGTATGTATGTATGTATGTATGTATGTATATCTTCAACTATCTATTAATATATCTCTCTCGATATATATATATATATATATATATTCATATCTATCTATCTATCTATCTATCTATCTATCTATCTATCTATCTATCTATCTATATATATATATATATATATATATGTGTGTGTGTGTGTATTTGTGTGTGTGTGCGTGTTTGTGCGTGTGTGTGCGAGTCTGTTTGTGTGTGTGTCTGTGTGTGTGAGTCTGTATGTGCGTAAAGCACGACAGAGTGATATATGCAGGTGTTGGCTTGTTCTTCCCTATCCAAAAAAAAGGATGATGTATTAATATGCTTCAAACTCGCTGTCTGTTTGTATCTATGTAGGCAATTATGTATCTATATCTTCAACTATCTATTAATATATATACATATATATATATATTCATATCTATCTATCTATCTATCTATCTATCTATCTATCTATCTATCTATCTATCTATCTATCTCACTCTTAACCTGTCTCCTTCTCTCTCTCTCTATATATATATATATATTCATCTCTCTCTCTCTCTCTCTCTCTATATATATATATATATATATATATATATATATATATATATATGCCTCTGTGTGTGTGTGTGTGTGTAAAGAACGAGAGATATATGCAGTTGTTGGCTTGTTCTTCCCTATCCAAAAAGAAATATATATATATATATTCATATCTATCTATCTATCTATCTATCTATCTATCTATCTATCTATCTATCTATCTATCTATCTCACTCTTTCACTGTCTCCTTCTCTCTCTCTATATATATATATATTCATCATCTCTCTCTCTCTCTATATATATATATATATATATATATATATATATATGCCTCTGTGTGTGTGTGTGTGTAAAGAAAGAGAGATATATGCAGTTGTTGGCTTGTTCTTCCCTATCCAAAAAAGATATATATATATATATATATATATATATATATATATTCATATCTATCTATCTATCTATCTATCTATCTATCTATCTCTTCTATCTATCTCTTTCACTGTCTCTCTCTCTCTCTATATATATATATTCATCTCTCTCTCTCTCTCTCTCTCTATATATATATATATATATATATATATATATATATATGTGTGTGTGTGTGTGTGTGTGTGTGTGTGTGTGTGTGTGTGTGTAAAGAACGAGAGATATATGCAGTTGTTGGCTTGTTCTTCCCTATCCAAAGAAAGGATGATCTGTTAATATGCTTCAAACTCGCTCTCTCGTCCTCACCCACACACTCCACTGTTTCCGATTGGTGAGAGAATCTGACCGCGCCGAGCGTCCATTCTTTACGATAGGTTATATTTGTCAGAATTTCAACTATACGAAAATCTGTTTTTACGTTTTGTAACATCCATCAGAATCTCAACAACCCGAGAAGACCAGGTGAGCTTGCAAAATGAAGATTTTCTTTTCAGAATCGTCTTCTCTTAACCCAATTACATTATAACATATATCGATGTCCATTTATAATATTGTGGCCGCAACCAATACATGTAATGTTTCCAAAGTTTGAAAATTTGATATTTATTTTGTCATTTTATACATTAAATTATGGTATTAATCTCACAATTTGAACAGGTTGTGATCCAGACACTCGCGACCTTAATTGTGTTCGCAATGAATTTATATGAGAAGGAGTGTTTTTTTTTTAGTTTATTAGAATATTGGAATGTAAGAAGCAACTACTCACTGACCACGAGTAGGACAAAGGAAATAAAATAAATGAACGTGCTAACAAGCTGGCATCTCAGTCGTACACTTTCACTGTCGAAACGGTTAAATGTAGCCGTCTCTTCTACTCCAATAGCTTCATGTCTTACACTTCCCGTCTGTGGAACTCCCTTCCTCTTATTTGCTTCGATGATAGATATTATCTTCAATTATACAAATGCAATGTCAGTCGATATCATCAGATGCTATGGTCTAATTCCTCGCCCTTCTCTTCATCCTTCCTTATAACACGCCTCTTTACACCTACTTTTAATCTCTGTAACCCTTTGCGTGCTAGTGACACTCCCCACTTGCTTTGAGGGAAATGCTTTAAAAAAATCAGAATCATGTGCCAAGTGTCCAAAAATTAGTGATATCTCCTCGTAAGTTTATATAAGCAAAATCACAGAATTGTCAGTTAAGATTTGGTCGAGGTTAGATCCCAAGTCATCGATATAGATCTAGAGGTATAG